GGCGCTCACACCATTATACTCCAACAACCTGAGACGTCGCCATAGCAAGCAACAAAAAATTAAAAATAATTCTCACCGGAGCAATTTTATTATCAAACATCTTTATTGACAAAATTTAATTACAATTTTGCCTAATCTGAGGATTCTAATTAAGTCTTTATTAAAGTTGAAGATAATGCTGGTATTCACTGTCACACAGGACAGAGGGTCATACACAAGACAATAGGTTTGAACTGTAGACTGAAGCACATGTATAATATCATGGTTACAGTCAATGTTTTAATGTATGGATATGTAAAATCAACTTTCTATTGTGCACTGCCACACAAGGGCAGGGATGGGTTCATAAGAGATGCAACTTAAAAATAATAAAATAAAATTGTTCTTCATTCTTTAAAATGGACAAGCAAATTTTGGATAAATTGTTAGGTTGTCGTCCAGTACACAAGATTCAATGAAATAGTTACATAGTTGGTGGTACAATATGCCAGGAAGCCTAAAATCTTTTATGGTTTCACATTCAACAATATAGTGTTCTAGTGAATGCATTAAAGGTTTGTCACAGAGTTTACAATCTGAATATTCTGGTAGTGGCTCAGCCTCACTAACCTGCCAGATGTGACTATAGCCAAGGCGAATTACAGCAATGACTACATCACACTGCCTGGTCCGGCTACGGTGCTGACCATACAAATACCTATTATTACAAAAGTTCTGTTAGATTCTAATACTGCAGCTTTCAGGTCTCTGGGCATTTTTTAGTTCTTCTAAATCTGAATTAATTTCTTTAATTTGTATGTTTCTAATAATTGCATAAGATAGTCTAAGGTCATAATCAGTGGAGCAAAGCCTACAATTCTACCATGATTATTGCGATCTGACAGTCTGTAATATTTACGAAGCGGTACTTGTACAATTTTGGTAGACATGATGAATTTTCAGCATTTTATGATCCGGGAGCAGATTCTAGGTATTTTTTCACTTTACTAGCGTGAAATTAGAGCAGGTTAGATCTAGAAATCGAAGCTAATTCGATTCAGTTTTAAATGTAAATATGATAAACGTGTGAGAAATAACTTATTGCATTAATCTAAGAACGTTTGGAAGGTGAGATGTACTCACATCTAAGTGTACACACACACACACCAAAAAAAAAAAAACACCCTGAGAGGTATGAGCTATGAGGAAAGGCTAAGGGCGCTGAACCTCACATCCCTGGAAAACAGAAGAGTAAGGGAAGACATGATAACCACCTACAAAATTCTCAGGGGAACTGACAGGGTGGACAAAGATAAACTCTTTAGCACGGGTTGAACATGAACAAGGGGACACAGATGGAAACTTAGTACGCAAATGAGTCACAGAGACATTAGAAATAACATTTTTTCAGTGTCAGGGTAGTTAACAAATGGAATGCATTAAGCAGTGATGTGGTGGAGGCTGACTCCATACACAGTTTCAAATGTAGTTTTGATAGAGCCCAGTAGGCTCAAGAATCTGTATACCAGTTTGTTCATTTGATGCATCACGCTATTTTGATTTCTGCTGTATACCAGTTTATTGACGGTTGAGAGGCGGGACTAAAGCGCCAAAGCTCAACCCCCGCAAGCACAACTAAGCGAGTAACATCCTCATCAAACTAAACACTTGCATATGAAAGGAATCCCATTATAATCGTTATTTTACAGATTATTGGAGAGAAAAAACATCTGCCCTATCATTTCCAACTATACATCTTCCTCGAGAATGAAGGCCAAGAAGCTGATGGGGGGTGTGCTGGCGAAGAAAAATTTTTCTTATAACGCAAAACACAATCACCATCTTATTCTTCACTGAAGCCCTTACTAAACAAGACTTCCTGGAGGCCAATATTAAGAAGTGTTCAGCACTGTAAGCACGACGGCCTGCCCTCACGTGTTTCATCAAGAGCTGCGGCCACGGAGGCGGATACCACTAGTCTTGATTAACTTCACACATACGATGCTCCCATTCGCGGGCACGCAAAGACCTAAAGCTACATGGGTGGTAATGAGAAATGGCTGGTGGATTTTAAGTCAGATAAATGTAGGGCAATGAGAATAGTGGCTGGAGGGAGGATACCTCAAACACAGAACACGATTAAAGGGAGACAATTCTCTGACCAATAGAGAGGGAACACAATCTAAGAGCAGACAAAACCATTCCAACACCACACATATCAACACAATAACATCAGCGGGGCATGCAAAATTATCAAACATCCGACGTAACACTGAGGAGCCTTTACAACAAAGCTTTCATTATCTTGTTCCTCAGTAACGTTAGGCCAGTGCTTAAACATTCATTCCCTCCGTAGAACCATCTAAAAGAACCTATGGCGTATAATGTACTTCAGGGAAACAAAGTGGGTGATACTACCCATGACACAGGCAAGTGGAAGGCTCTCTGCCTGCTGACAAGTCATAATTCGTCTGTTCCTGCACTCACCTGTATATAAAAAGAGAGGATGTAAAGAACCACTTTTAAGTTGATAAGTCATTAATAACTTGTACAAAATACACGACGAGGTACCTGATGTTAACCATATTCACTTTACAAGATCACGCATGATAACTACTGCATTACCGAGAGCGACAACAGAAAAGGCTGGGACCAGGAGCCGCTAGTCAACCATGCAAGCACTAATCGCTGAGCACACACTCCCATCGGTGTTGTTTGCGAGGCGTCTGACAATGAATTTAGTTTCTGAAGTGACCATTTACTACGTATTAAATATATATTTTAAACAATAGTATTGTTAGTGTTAAACAAAATACTGTACCGAGATTGCTGAGACTGTACCTTTAAGTTAGCTTCAGGTAACATAGGGTTAATATGTTATTGTATCTCTTAAATTATCTCCCTCTTAGTAGTTTATTCTCTTTTTCTACATATACCTGTATATCTTTCCCCTTCCTTCAATCTCCCTATCCCATCCCTACACCCTTCTCTTTTCACGCTCTGTCGTCCACTCACTAATATCCCAACTCATTATCTCTTTCAATTTCCTTACCCCACCCCCCATCCCTTTCCTCTTTGTTCCATCTCCCTCTTTTCTAAACCTCCTCTTGGAATTCCAACTTTCCTTCGTGAAAGTTGAGGGTAGCAAGTGATACCCATCTTCTGGCCAAAGGACAAGAAGATGGGTATCTGAAGGACTACCAGTGTTCCTTCCGAGTATGACTCCATTTGGAGACATAGTCGGAAGCAGTATGACTCCAGTTGGGGGGGAAAAGAATGTGGTGATGCTAACTCAAGTTATTTGGAGGAATACTGACCTTGTTATGGCACCAGGTAAATATATTATTAATCATCAAAATATCTTTGAAAACTACCAAGTCCAAATTAGACCTATGTAATTCAAAAAAAGTTATTAAAGCCAAACTATTTTCCTCAACGTTTATTTTTCTTGGTGTTCTTGCAACGTGTGGAGCACATGTGTCGTTGTTGCTCTGTCCTGCTGCTTTCGTAAGTGGGTAGCCAAGCGTCCTTGTTGCCCCCAACTCGGCACCTCAGCCATTCACTGCTACTTACAAAATAATTAACAAAAATTAAAACATTTTTAGCCTCAGCCTATCATGGCGCCTGCGTCGGTGACCCGTATATAATACTCCCAGCACGATACACTATTACTGTTCATGGTAATATAAACACAAAATGTAAATTTGTAAATAAGTTGAGAGATAACGATCAGGGAGCGCTGGAAATAGGGAAGGGGTGGTAGTTAAGAAGTGCTGTAGAGGGGTTTGGGGGGTTACAATCAGGGGTTCTGGGGAGGTGGGGGTTCAGGGAGTGGGGAGGCTGGATGCTGACAGTGCCAGAGGGAGCGGGTATATAAGTGGAGCAGCTCCCCAACACAGTCAGTCACTCGACCAGCAGCCTCAGCTCAACATCCCTACACACTCAATTATGTTATTCAAGGTCTGTTTCGTTATGGTAAAAATATACAGCTAATGAACCTAAAAGGAAAGTATTTATATCAACGACGTGAACGATCGTTCAAATATGGACGTGATGGAATTGAACGTAACTTTAATATTACTGAATTTGGAAAGACCAGTGAAGTTTTATATTTATGTTATAAATAAAACCTAATCATCCTAGGCCTAATACAAGCTATCTGAAGCCCCAATATTTAGTATGGCGACATTTTTGTCCGCCATACTTACTAAGCCTAGGAATATTTAAATTTTTTTATTTTTTTTTCAGACTAAATGAATAGCAACAAATTCAACTGTCTATGTGTCCATCACGTCCATATGTGTACGATCGTCCGTATGTGTACGATCGTCCACATAGTTATAAAAGACTATCTTATCAGGAGGATGACTTGCAAATTATGGACACTTAAGTTTAATGAATAGTAATATATATATATTATATATATATATATATATATATATATATATATATATATAAACTAAATTCCTGTTGGATAACCTGATATACAGCAGTATTACCTTATCTATATAGTATACATGCTGAACGTACATAAATTGCAATAATTTGGCTGATGCTAATTTTGAACTAACTCGTCAATACCATTAGTCATCGCGGATTAAGTAAACGCATTACAAACTGAGTAATATATTCATTACAATGATCATTCATCACTGCTGATAACTGTGATGTTCATGAAATCTGACAACATTCCATGGGCCAAAATAACTTCTGACTTACGAGAACTCCTCTTCCCCCATTTATTGTGCCAGTTTATTGTGCATCATATACTCACCCTGTGAGCGGTAGCGCAAAAATTTATTACAATGGGCCGCAAAGACTTTTATCATCCTTTAACGGAGATTATTCCATTAATAATTGTATTCATGCGCACACAATTATGTCGGCTAGTTAAAAAAAAAAATTAATATCTGTATTTCTACAATTAATAATTATACAGTGATGGTGGGTGGTTTCGCTAATACGTAACAATAATTCACCTTCCCCAGATGTGTCTGGTCCTGGTGGTGGCCGCCGTGGCTATGGCGGACCCGGGTGACTACGGCGGACCCGTCTACGCCTCGGTACGTGTCCCTTATTGTCTTGATTGTGATCGGGCTTCAGCTCCTGGGCGCAAGTCCATTTTACTTGCAGGTCGTCAGATGTATTGACTGTCGGCCCCAGAATTTAATTTATAACGCTTAAATATTGAGAATGGATTTACCATCAACAAACTAATTAATTCCGCATTCATACTATAGGTGCATACAAATTATTTAATTACATCCATATGGCTCACAGGAGTCCCCATATGTATCCGCTAGCACTCCTGCAGTCCATCATAAACTGTTCTGTTTTATACAGTTTCCATACACCATAGGTATTTTATAGTTTTCGATCATGTGTTCTCTGGCTCTTGTTTAAATACAAGAGTTTCAGTTCTCAATCACGTATCGCACGCTAACCTTTCGGCTGAAACAAGTTTTACTGCATTTTAAATATTTACACATTTTAGTTGGAGCTTAATAAGGGGCACGTTATATGGTATACAATAATCTTGCTATACGTTTTGTCCAGATTCCTGAAGGTTGCTCATTTGCGGCTTTTGTATGTGCCAATGTTGTTTCCCCCCCCCCCCTGTGTATGCCAGTGATGATATCCTACTTGTGTATGCCAGTGGTGATATACTGCCTGTTAATGCCAGTGGTGATATCCTGCCTGTTAATGCCAGTGGTGTAATCCTGCCTGTTAATGCCAGTGGTGTTATCCTGCCTGTTAATGCCAGTGGTGTTATCCTGCCTGTTAATGCCAGTGGTGTTATCCTGCCTGTTAATGCCAGTGGTGATATCCTGCGTGTGTATTCCAGTGGTGTTATCTTGCTTGTGAATGCCAGTGGTGATATCCTGCGTGTGTATGCCAGTGGTGTTATCCTCCTTGTGTGTTCTGCCAATGTTATCCAGTGTTTTGGATTGTTCTCTCTTGTTATCATTTGTTTTCAAATGATAATAAAAATTATGATTGTAATAGACATTGAATAGAGTAGACATTTCCTGCAACTTATAACAATCTCCCAGAAGTAATATTCGATCACAATATAACCTACTTATTAATTTTTAATTGGATTCTAACGTCAATAAGGGTTCAGGTGCACTTGTCTTTTTGTGTTGAGTTTCATGACCCCTAAGTTTATTATATAATTTTCTTCTCGCCCCAGGAGCCACTGCCGTATTACTACGACTACAACGTGCATGACGGCTACAAGGGCACCAACTTCGGCCAGCACGAGAAGTCCGACGGTAAAAATGTGTACGGCTCCTACACCGTCGACCTCCCCGACGGTCGCAAACAAAGGGTACGTCCACCTCCCTCACACTTTTTACACTTTTCACTCCATCGCCTAGTGTGAAAACCTAAGTTCATGAATAACATTTTAAATTCCATGGCCACAACAACTTAAAGTTAAATGCACCGTGTTCTTCCCCAGGTGGACTACACAGCTGACCACTACAGGGGCTACGTGGCCAAGGTCAGCTACTACGGCAAGGCTCAGCACCCTAAGCACTACGGCCCCGCCGTCACCTTCTTCAACAAGGGCTACGGCCACGGAGGCGGATACCATTAAAATCCCGAAAATGCCATTCTCATCTAAAAAGATTATATTTTTGTAGGGTAAATGTGGAGGAATAAATTATGAAAATCAAATTGTGCAAATTTCTTTCAAATTGAAACAGTGTATCTCAGATTATGAAAATACTATAATTCTACTTTAAAGACGGTAAGGTGACAGACGAATCAGATGGCTGCTTTATAACGAAACCTTACACATCCGTAAAGCTTTCCATTATATCTTATTTCCAATTACAATATGTGGAAAACCAATGAGCGAATTCCGGTGGAACATGACTGACACAAAGCCCAGAGTCACTGACAAAAAAAAAAAAAAAAAAAAAAGCGCTGCGGAAAAATGCATTGTTTTACAAAATTTAGTTTAAAGCAAGTTATTTTGTACATTTATCCAGGTAAACCATTTGTAATGTGGTTGTTTTGTTTGAAAGTAAACTAGCTTGCGTGTATCATGCCTATAGTCCTACAGGCATCATAAATCGTGAGACATTTACAACTCTTCACACTCGGTAAAGCGACGACCTGGGTTCCTGCGTGATCGGTGTTCGATCCCCATGGTCCAGGAGGTTGGGTACGTTTCCTTCACTTTGTCCTCATATCCCAGCTCCTGGTTATCATATCCCTACCAAATGCTATAGTCAACAGTCATGCTGGTTTAGTGCCTTTCTATTAATAGTTATCTTTACTTACCTCTCAAAACTTGTCTTATCTGCTGCTCCTAATACAACTTTTACATCTCTCTCAAATTTTATTTCCCCGTACTCATTTTAATTTCCGTCCGAAATTTTATTTCGACTCTTCCTCTGTTCTTAAATAATAATTTTAAACAAAATGAGTGTGCAAAAACGCATTGTTAAGAGTTGTACATACTGAACCATTCCGCCCCACCTATTGCATGATGGTAGTGTAGAAGTTCATGTTTGGCGTGTTTTGACCCGACCCACTTGACTTAGTTTTAAGTTAGAGGATTATATAATTAATAATCTGAGTCGTTGGGAACAGATACAGAGACTTGCGATAGCGGCCAGAAAGGAAATCGTTTACATTTGCTTGGGATCCCGGTTGAAAGTGATATGCCAATGGATGAGAAGAAAATACTGAATTTAGTAGCCGTGTCAGCGGCTGATAACACTCCACTATTTCCATCTAGGAATACTGGTTTTTATCCAAGTTCTTCTTTGACCCTAATATCTGAGAAATACATCCCATGTTTTTTTTCATGTTACTTTTTCAACACTCACACGAACAGTTGCTAGAGACATAACTGTGTCTTTGTTGTGCCTACGGGTAAACTCAATCTGTGTCACGTAAAATAATTACCTACAGGCATAATTACCCACAGGCAGGGGGGCCTGTCAGCTGAGCTGACAACGCTCGGGATTCGTAGTCCTAAGGTCAGGGGTTGGACCCTAGGTGGAGGCGGAAACAAATGGGCATTGTTTCTTTCACCCTGATGCCCTTGTTCACCAAGCAGTAAATAGGTACCTGGGACTTAGACATCTGCTACGGGCTGCTTCCTCTGGGTGTATAACTAAAAGGAGGCCTGGTCGAGGACCGGGCCGCGGGGACACTAAGCCCCGAAATCATCTCAAGATAACCTATATATAGTATAGAAACATTTTGAATATTTGTAGTAAACGTGTAAGTTTTGTGTGAAGATAAGTTTGTATCAACATCATGCCAGCAACACAGCACCAACTCATCACCAAGACTACGGTTATGTCTACCAGGCCTCGGGGCCTCGTAGCCTGGTGGATAGCACGCAGGATTCGTAATTCTGTGGCGCGGGTTCGATTCCCGCACGAGGCAGAAACAAATGGGCAAAGTTTCTTTCACCCTGAATGCCCCTGTTACCTAGCAGTAAATAGGTACCTGGGAGTTAGTCAGCTGTCACGGGCTGCTTCCTGGGGGTGGAGGCCTGGTCGAGGACCGGGCCGCGGGGACACTAAAGCCCCGAAATCATCTCAAGATAACCTCAAGATAACCAGACTCTGCATAACAACCACAAAATAAGTACTGTAGTTGTTCATGAACAGGGACCCCAATAGTTATACGTTCTGTAAAAATAAAACAGTGATTGTTGAACCGGTTATTCAGCGGGAAAAGCCCCATCTACTTGGCAAGCCAGTCTAGATAATTAATAACATTAACAATATTATATACTATAAATTACACAAGATTGCCTAATATATAATAAAACCACTTTGTAACTAAATAAATCAAACGGATTATTAATAACGTAGTTAAAGTAGATTTATGCAGTTTCCAACACAAGAATCCATTTCCTTTTGCTCCAACTTTTTTATAAACAAAATATATTATTATGTCAACAATTTACAGGCTGAAGAGAGCAGCAATCATCCCCTTGCGACATTGTCTTCAACCCTAGGGTAAACTGTCCGTTGTAGGGTAAACTGTCCGTTGTGGGGTAAACTGTCCGTTGTCGGGTAAACTGCCCGTTGTAGGGTAAACTGCCCGTTGTAGGGTAAACTGCCAGTTGTAGGGTAAACTGCCCGCTGCAGGGTAAACTTTCCGTTGTAGGGTAAACTGCCCGCTGCAGGGTAAACTTTCCGTTGTAGGGTAAACTGCCCGCTGCAGGGTAAACTTTCCGTTGTAGGGTAAACTGCCCGCTGCAGGGTAAACTTTCCGTTGTAGGATAAACTGTCCGTACAGACCGTTGTAGGCCACTTCTTTAACCACTCGTTATTTACATAAAAACGACTATTGACATATGTACACACATCAGTAGTACATATACATTTGTATAAAAGATAAATAATTGTGTAACTAACCCCTAACTTCTAAACCTCTATGTGCCTCTAACTCTCTCCACCCCCCACCGCCCAAGGGCTGGGTATGGGGGGCATAATAAATGACTAAACTCTACCCCAAGTAACGCAAACAAAGGCTGGCTCAGTCTGAAGGCTCACCACTTCACATGCCAATTGCTAAGTCCTATTTTAATTTTCACACTATTTTGTTTTGTGTAATGAACTAGTGTATAGGGTTGATACGCAAGCAAGTTTGCACACTTGGGAATACAACTTGGGTGAATTCGGTCGAGACGGACTACGCTTACTACTACGCTGCAAGGATAAACATTCCCACGTGATAAACCCGCTACTTGCAACATTCCCACGTGATAAACCTGTTACTTGCAACATTCCCACGTGATAAACCTGTTACTTGCAACATTCCCACGTGATAAACCTGTTACTTGCAACATTCCCACGTGATAAACCTGTTACTTGCAACATTCCCACGTGATAAACCTGTTACTTGCAACATTCCCACGTGATAAACCTGTTACTTGCAACATTCCCACGTGATAAACCTGCTACTTGCAACATTCCCACGTGATAAACCTGTTACTTGCAACATTCCCACGTGATAAACCCGCTACTTGCAACATTCCCACGTGATAAACCTGTTACTTGCAACATTCCCACGTGATAAACCTGTTACTTGCAACATTCCCACGTGATAAACCTGTTACTTGCAACATTCCCACGTGATAAACCCGCTACTTGCAACATTCCCACGTGATAAACCTGTTACTTGCAACATTCCCACGTGATAAACCTGTTACTTGCAACATTCCCACGTGATAAACCTGTTACTTGCAACATTCCCACGTGATAAACCTGTTACTTGCAACATTCCCACGTGATAAACCTGTTACTTGCAACATTCCCACGTGATAAACCTGTTACTTGCAACATTCCCACGTGATAAACCTGCTACTTGCAACATTCCCACGTGATAAACCTACTTGATGTCTAATACTTTTTGCATGCACCATATGTAGGCCTACTATTGCAACTTACCCAAAGATTATAGTATTTAAAATCCAAACCAAAAATCGGAAAATATAGTAACGATGTTTCGGACCGTCCTGTACCATTAACATGTCCTGATAATGGTCCAAAATGGACCGAAACGACGTCACTGTATTATCAGGTATGTGGGATGGATATCTAATGTTCAACCTCGTTGTTGTGCCTAGCCGTCCGCATGATAATACTTATATTACTTAGGCCTGGAACTGGTTTGCCTGTATAGTTACTGCTCCATATTTTTACGCCTACCATTTGAGGATTCCATTAGTACAAAAATTGAAAAAAAATTGAGGGGCACGACAGTCCAATTTTGTACGTTCGACCAAAAGTTGCTATAAGGCCTGTCCTTTTATTTGGGGGGGGGGATGATAAGACTTGTTTCGCAAACTTCTACGTGTATGCTGGGGTTAATTAAACGTTAACAGGCATGGCTAATTGTTCACAATGCCCCCAATGTATTTAAATAATCATTGTGCTCATTCTATGTCAAGTAGACTAATCTGAATCAGGATAAACCTGACTATGTACGTTGCTCCGTTTGTTGCTGCTGTAGATACCAATACCACACAATAACATAATACCACACTATCACAATACCACACAATAACATAATACCACACTATCACAATGCCACACAATAACATAATACCACACTATCACAATACCACACAATAACATAATACCACACTATCACAATACCACACAATAACATAATACCACACTATCACAATACCACACAACAACATAATACCACACTATCACAATACCACACAATAACATAATACCACACTATCACAATACCACACAATAACATAATACCACACTATCACAATACCACACAATAACATAATACCACACTATCACAATACCACACAATAACATAATACCACACTATCACAATACCACACAATAACATAATACCACACTAACACAATACCACACAATAACATAATACCACACTATCACAATACCACACAACAACATAATACCACACTATCACAATACCACACAATAACATAATACCACACTATCACAATACCACACAACAACATAATACCACACTATCACAATACCATACAATAACATAATACCACATTATCACAATACCATACAATAACATAATACCACACTATCACAATACCATACAATAACATAATACCACACTATCACAATAC